CGGTGACGCGGCAGCAAGCGCACGGTCAGTTGAACTGTGTGGACGGATGATAGCAGTACACTTATATTTGTGGCCGTCATGTCGTCCGTCTCCGGCCTTCGACACCGCTCCATGCGGTTCCGCCGCGCACACCTCGTCTACACTCGTGGCCGCACCACAGTGACGCCGCTCCCGTCGTGACTGCACACGTCAGCGAAGGGGTGCTGTTCCGCCGCGTGTGCGCAGTCGTGCAGTCCGTGTAAGCGCGGTGCGGGGCGTATTCGTATTAGTATTCTTACGAATCGCATGCTTGCTGCCGTTACCTGCTCCTTGTATCTCTGGCGGTGACTTGGACTTTTCTATTACTTCGTCCTTCATTTTTACGAATACTTCCTTCACCACTTCCACTATCTCTTTTCCAATGCCACCATTAGCCATGGCACCTACCCCGGGATGCACCTTCCCTGATGTTCTTCCTAATGCATCGTTTCCGCTCTGTTCCATGTCTTTCTTGTACGTTTCCCATTTTAGTTTGCATTGTGGGTCCTTCTTTATTGCGTTTATACGATCATTTATTGTTGTATTTGTCTCTAACCATTTTTTTACCGCACCCTGCAAATCCGCTGTTCCTACCTTTGTACCCCTGTACTCATCCAGCTTACATTTGCCGGTGAAAAGCGGATTAGAGGTGTCTCCCGTTCCCACTGCAATCTGCTTCATTATCTTCCAAGCTTGATCTATTGCAGGCCACTCATCTCTACACTTTATTTCCGCCAATATATACGCAAAAACATTTGCCACCATACACCTCATAATAGCCTTCATGTCGTTATCATTTTCCGATGGTTCGTTATCATTTTTCAGTTGACTGCCCCACCCAGCTACAAAATGTAATGCTCCAACCATCAGTCTGCATTTCATCTTGTCCGCAACTGTGTGTCCGGTGTAGAAGGTTCCCTTATGCCTGTCTCCTCTACGTTCCCAACCTGCATCCCCACAGCTTGTGGCATAGTCCTCTAAGTTGTCCTCTATCTCTTCCATGTAATCCACGAATTGTGCTAACACATTCTGCATATCTTCCCATAGTGCCTTCTACGAAATATATACATAGAGAAAATGATTAATGTATAACAATATATAAACTCTATAAGACTCTACCTTCCCTGCCGTATGTGTTACCGCACATATATGTACCAACACTATTTTCCGCCACCCTTCTTCGCTGTGTCGTGCAATCCCTTGTTCTGAGTGAACACTTACATCAAGCTGTTCCTGTTTCCATAGTCCCCTCTTTATGGCCCAGTCGGCCAGTACATGCACCAGATGCCGTGCCATGGTGCATTACGTCTCATAATACAGGATACTAATGGTCTCTGAGAATATCATGCACATTATTCATATTCCGCCCTGATGCTATGCACATGTCTGCCTCATTAATATTCTTATTACTATATGAGTGGGGGGAATACCCCTACACTGAATTCATATAAGGCAAATGCACAATACAGAATTGCAAGGTTCACTACCTGTTTACACTATTCTGATATTGTTTAGGAGAGACAATAATCTGCACAGAAAAAAAAAGGAGTACAAAAATGAAGAGAAAAAACAAAAAAAAACAGGAAGACCGGAAAGATCAAAAAAATAGGAAAAACACTACACGCAACGCGGCATGAACACAGCCCCACGTCCTGCTGCACTAAACGCCTGTCACACACTGTGTCTCTCTGTGCGTACACCTCAAAACCGCAGTATAACAACAACAACATCAATTCTTCTTCCGTCTTGCACGCGGCTGCGTCGTCGGACAATGGGTTTACCGGGGCCGCGTTGGCTCGGAGAGACAATGTGCTCCTCCTTCTTACACTCGGACAATCCTGCGTCGAATATTTCTTACACTCGGACAATCCCGTTTACCCGGCCGCGTTGGTCGACGCGTGTGGTCGGACAATCTGCCCTCCTTCTTGCACTCGGCTAATTCGTCGAATCGGTCTTGCACTTGGCCGCGTTGCTCGTGGACAATGTCCGTTAGCCGGGCACGTTGCTGGGAGAGACAATCTGTGCTCCTTCTTACACTCGGCTACAATGCGGTTTACCCGGCCGCGTTTGCGCGGAGAGACAATCTCTCCTTATACTGGAATGCGTAGTCGCATTCTATATTTGTTCTGCACTATACCCTGCGAATGCACGTGCGCAGCTTTTAATAATTAACTTCACATAAAGCAGAATACTACCCCTTCATATTATTCATTTAAATCTACATGTTATATGCATGTAACCGGTACCACCCTGTCCCCATGGTCATGTTAAAAGAAGTTGACTACACAGAAAAAGAACAAAACAAAAGCAACAGTAAGCATAAAGAAACAGAAAAAAGCAGAAGAGAGCAGAAAAAAAAAAACGTATGGAATAGTAAAAACAAGAAATACATTATGTATATCACATAATGAATTAAACGTGGTCTAATGTTAGCATGCGTTATTTCCCATTCATATGCCCCGTCATCCGAATGTCACAGTTGCTGCAATAGGTCATCCACATATAACTCCTTCTCCTGCAAACTGCGTTCGAGCTCGCACTGCTCAATGACTAATGCCAGGATCATTATCCATGTTTTAGCGGTTAACGGTTTTTTCATATGAGGTTGCTTATGCAGTTTCGTGCATGGTACATCCCGCAGGCGTAGCCTCTGTTGTGCTGCCATTACTTTGTCCACGTGTAAGTGTTGTTCTACGCGAGGTATTTCGCCTTTGTGCGATTCTGTCTCCTCCTCTACATTATTCAACAAATGTGGGAACCACTCCTCCGCGTTATAGATACTCATTTGCCGATGTTGTTGCGCTATCCACTGTCTCCACAAGCGCAGTTTCTTCATCGGCAGGATTGCGGCTGCACCGAATTCACGCTGCCCGTATACTCCGTTGTCCTCGTCTGCCGCCATGTGATCACGCAGGTATTGTTTCCATTCCGATTTGAGGGCATTAAACCACGGCTGCGTCGTGCACTCCTGCAATATATGTTTGTTGCGGTCAATCCAGTTAATCCATTGGGTGCAGTCGGAGGTCGCGTGCTCGGGGTAGGAATGAGCATTCTGTTCTGCATCTAACTGTATGGTGTCCATACAACTCCATGGGTCGGGGTCCTCGTAATTCGGTGGACAAGGGCCCGTCTCTAACTGTATAGTTTCCATACAACTCCATGGATCGGGGTCATGAGGTCGACAACGGTCCGTTGCTAACTGTATAGTTTCCATGCAACACCATGCATCAGGTTCGTCGGCGTCATTCGGTGGACAAGGGTCCGTTGCTAACTGTATGTGTTCCATACAACCCCATGGATCGGGGTCATGTGGTGGACATGGATGTATGCCGTTGACGTCAGTGGGTGGATCGAGCATGGAGGAAACATTGGTCCCTGGTGAATCGTGATTCGACGAAGAAGCCGGGGAACTACTATACTCGTTTGCATCCCGCATCCAATCCTGCGTAAACTGCTCCACGACAATCTGCCAATAGTCGTCTTTGACGCTGTCCCATTCGGTTGCTTCACATTCGTTGAGCACTTCTAGATGTAGCTCGATGATCGTGCGCGTATGCACGCGTGGTGGGCGTCGGCGGCGGGCGGCGGGCAATCTGCCGCGCTGCCTATCCCGAACCATGGTGTAGCCGTAATCGGGTGGCGGCAGTTCGCCGCGTTGTAGATGGTCCAATATTTCTTCGTCGAGTGGCGGTGACGGCACGTCACGAACGGTTCGATATGTTCGTCGTCGTGTTTGTCCGAGGTACGCAAAGTACTAAGCAAAAAAAGGGGGGTAAAGAGGAGGGTGAGGACGGTAGGATAAAAGGAATGAACGAGGGTGTAGGAGTACATTTGTGTTAGAACGATCATATATTGAAGCCGGTTGGGATGTTCTAAGGTATAAACATCCTGCACATGCGGGATTGCGTGATTGTCGTGTATGCTTACCTTCCATAGGAAAAAGGCAATGACCCCAATACCAACCACCGCGGGAATGATCGCGGGGGTGTATGGCTTGACATCTTCCCATGTGAGGCCGGGCGGCACAGAAGGGGTGGCAGGGGTAGGAGCAGCACCTGCACCTCCTGTAGTTGCAGTACCATGACCAGTAGAACCGGGTCGTGAGGATGAGGAAATGCCACTTCCTCCCCCTCCTCCGCCACTTCCACCTGCTCCACCACCTCCTGCGGAAGTACTTGGTACCTGACCATCGGGCAAAATGCCACTACTACCCGATTGATTGGGGTTCGGGTTCGGTTTTGGTTTGGGTGGATTGAGAGGAGGGGGGTCATCATTACCCTGGTGTCCAGTGCTGGGTGTACCGTCTGCACCTGTTGCGCCTGGAGAACCGGGGGCACCAGGCGCAGTGGGTCTTCCACCATCTGGACTCTGCGTTGCTTTTTCTCCCCCAGACGCAGGCTCTCCAGTAGGAGGGATCTGGTACGTAGTAGTTTCCTTCGGGACATCCGGATACTGTCCTGTTTGTGGTGGTACACCTGCTGCTTGTGGTGACGGTGGCGGATCCGATGCGGATGCTGCTGATGCATCCAGACCAGTAGCCGTCGTTTCTTGGGAAGGATCCTTACCTGTAAATTCGGAAGGAAAAGTGAACATAATGAAGCTAAAGTTTGAAAGGCTGGTTGTTATGGTCCGTCGCTGGATGGTGGGCCACGCTGCGAACGGTGGTTGGCAGGTGCCACCCCGGGAAAAGACTCTCTCTGTCTCTCGCACAACACACACAACACACACAACACACACAACACACAGACACCGTGTGTGTGTCAACCTGGCGACGTCGACGTCTGCGTCCGTCTAGGTCTACCTGTTGACGTCCACATCCCGCGTCCGGTTACTCTCATTGCCTTTGTTTGTTCTCTGTCCTGAAAGTGTTGTGTCGTTTTTGTTTTTTGGAGACCCTTTCAAGTGTCCCCGAACTTACGGAACCAGGATGCACACTTCTCTCGTGTATTATCGTATAGAACTTATCACCTGGAACACTTCCCTTGGAACACGTAGGAGAGGATGGAGCGCTCGCGAAACTAACTGTTGTACCAACATGATTAGGATCATATTCTGATTTAGATGTGAACTCGGTTTTACCACAGTCCGGATCGGATGAATCCTGTGTTCCCTTACCTTCTTTAGTGGATTGGGTGTCACCTGCACCGGTAGCTTTTGGTGGTGCCGCAGGTGGGGGTTGTGGTACGGGTGCTGGGACTGGTAAGACGACGTCCGTTGCTGCTGAGCCATCTGACCTGCCTGCTCCTCCTGATGGTGACGATGCTTCCGGTGTCTTTGTCTGATCTGCCTTGTCGTGCTGCTTCTCATCCCTGTTCTCACTGTTCCCCTCTGTTTTCTTCCCGTTAGATTCCCCTTCTGCCTTCTTGTTCTTTTCCTTCGCTGCAAATGAAGAAAGATAGAAAGACGGTACAAACACCATACAAGGATGATAAAAAAAAAAAGGACACAAAGTGGTACAGAAAGAAGGGGGCCGGGACGGTTCGATCAGGTAGCGGCAGGGTAGGTCGGCTGCATGGGTCGATGCAGTGGGTCGAGGTGCACTGCGATGGACTGGGTGAGGCGGCAGCAAGCGTACGGTGAGGTGCACTCGGTGTACTCGGTGAACTGGGACTAGATGGTAGCAGTACAACTTTTATGTTGTTGTCGCCGTCCGCAACCGCCGTCCTGTGCCGTCGTGACCGCCGCTACACTCGTCACTGGTCCGCTGCACGGTACGCTCGCCTTTCCCTTCGTGTACGCCGCTGTGATCGGCTCAACGACGGAGTCATGTTGTGCCCGCCTGTGCGTTGTGGCACCGTCGCGTTTGTGGCGGTGGCCGTGCATCCATATCCGTGCCATCCGTATCTGTACCGTACGGGCCGTATGGGTAGCACGGTGTGTGTGTATTCGTATTCTTACTTGCTAGGTCTTTAATTTTGCGTTCAACTATGGCCTTCACCTTCTCAACAGCTTTCTTCGTCTCCGTCCTTACTTGCGCCTCCGTTTGTTTTACCTCAGGCAGCTTTTTGCTAATGTCCGGGTCTTTGTCTGTAACACCCTTCTCCCCTTTATACTTTTTCCAATTCTGATCACAGGGCATCTGGTGCTCTATCGTTGCTATATCTCCCATTATTCCTTGGTCTACGAACCATTCTGCGATGTGTCCATTTATTATTGCAGGTGTCGTCCGACTACCCTTGTACCCACATTGTGTGCATGTGCCATCCATAACAGGACCCGTTAGTGCCCCGTGTCCCAATGTCTCATCCCCCATGTTCTTCATGGTTTTCCAAGCGTACTCCACACCCCTCTTCCATCCTTCCTTTTTACAATACTGATTCTTCAGCATGTATCCAAATACATTCGCTACCTCACACCTGAACTTTTCGTACAATTTATCGTCATCCGTTTTCTGTGCTTTCTCACTATTGCCATGTTTTCCCTCCTGGTTCGCGAAGAACAAAGCAAGGGTCATAAGTCTGCACCTTACGACGTCTGCTACCGTTTGTCCCTTATATTGATGAGCATCGCCGAAATCATCCCAACCAGAATTGTGACAATTTTCACCGTATGCATCCATCATATCCTTTTTGTCTTCCATATAATCAGTAAATTGCTGCAATACGGTCTTCATTGTTTCCAGTGTTGCTGTCTGTATTATGGTGATGGTAATATAGGAATATGCATGACTACAGTTCATCTATGTTTTACCCACCAGGAGCGTGGGCACTCTCATTTATACATTTAACTGTATGAATAGGTTTTTCTTCGTGTTCTTCCCTCTTTCCTTCACCTAAACTTACATCATAATACTGCAGCACGTGTACGTGCCTGCTCTTGCCTTCCAATATGCTCTGCCATGGACAATCCTCTCCTGCGGCGGGCTTCTTCGCCAGCGGTTTCGCCGCTACTGGTTTGGCAGGTTTCGTTCCTCCGCTGCCGGTGTTGGTGTCGCCGGGTGGTTTGGCTGGTGCTGGTTTGGCTGGTGCTGGTTTGGCTGGTGCTGGTTTGGCAGGGGCGGGTTGGGCGCCTGGACGCGGTGCACTGTTTGCTCCTGATGTATCTGATGCTCCTGGCCCATTTGACTGTCCGTGTTCTTTTCCTGTGTGCACATTCGACGGGGACTGCGTCCCCGTATTGTCGCTGTTCGCGTCTGCTGCCGCTTTCTTTGCCTTTAATAAGTTCTTTACACAATCCTTATCCCCTTCAGTACATGTTTTCACTGCCTGTATTATTTCCGGCACCTTCTGTCCTAAATCGTGGTCCACATTCTTTATTTCTGCCTGCACTTTCTCCTTTAACGCCGTGCTGTCGTCCCCATGCCCTACTCTCGCTTTGGATCCCGTTTCCACCCTACACCCGTCCCCCAACACTCCCCAATCCCCGTCCCCGGTGTTCTGTCTATTGTTTTCATTCCATCTCTGCATTACTTCCCACAAATCCCTATCCTGTGCACTCTTGCCTCTGTCTCTGTCCCCCCCTTTTCCCGCATCCACCTCCTCACACGCAATATTGCCCAGCTCCCTCTGGAACACGTTCTTTATTTCGCCATGAACAAGATTGAAAGCAAACTGTGCACCAGGTCCCTTTAAACACTTCATGCCCATTATTTTCTTCATAAATATATTAACTAGAATACATCTCATATAGTTATCTATTTTCTTTGCTTCTTCGTCCATACCGTCCTGACTAATAGGGGCTCCATTTAAATTAATTCCATGTTTAAAACGTAATGCTGTGAACGCTAACTCGCACAAACCTTTGTCCGCAACATTCCACTGTTTCCCATCTTCCCCATTCTGTCCTGCTGCACACATGATCGTTGGTGTCCCACTGTCCACGGTTTTTTCCATAAATTCCCTAAATGTTTTCCATACTGCTTCCACATTTTTCCAAAAATGTTCCTGCAGGTACAGCATTCATCATATGTTACCGAATGAACTATATTTCATCTTCCACTTTTCCTTACTATATAAATGTGGATATGAGTACATGTTGCTCCTATACATATCCATGTCCCCCTTCTGGAGAACGCATAGCACTTCACAATATGAACGTATATATTCTTCCCAGGGAACTTCACTACATTTTCATAATATAATTAAGTTCCTTTTCTTCACTCTTGTACATATATGAACTTACCCTAAAGTTTTCATCTTCCTTCACTCCTATTTGTTCTCGTCCCTGCTTAATATAATTGTCCCATAATAATATTAAATAGTTCCACATGGCTTCCTGCTTATTCTCATTTTATATAGGATGCCACGCTCCTGGATCCTTCTTCAAAGTTCAAATAAACTGTACATTATCCTTCACACACATATTCCTCTAATGAAAACACCTATCATCACATACTCAGAATAATCCTCCAGCATGAAAATCTTTAACCACAATACCCCCCTTAACAACAAATACCCGCACTTAACAACAAATACCGCCCTTAACCACAAATACCCCCACGTAACAACAAATACCTCGCCTTAACAACCAATACCCCCCCGTAATAACAAATACCCCCCCGTTCACAACAAATACCGCACGTAACAACAAATACGCCCTGCCTACACTGTCTCTGTGTGCGCGTACACTAAACCCCTTGTACACTAAAACCGCAGTAACAACAACAACATCAATTCGCTGCTTCCGTCGTTGCTGCCGTCGTCCCTGCCGCCGCTACTTGGTTGAATCGTTTACTCGAACGCCGTAATCGAACCGCTTCACTCGGCTACATCGTCGAATCCTTCTTACACTCGGACCGATCGTATGCTCGGAGAGACAAGCTGTCCTTATACTCGAATGCGTATGTGCGTTCTATATGTGTTCTGCACTATACCCTTAGAATGCACGTGCTCATCTGTTAATAATTAACTTCACATAAAGCAGAATACTACCCCTTCCATATTATTCATGTAAATCTACATGTTATATGCATGTAACGGGTACGCACCTGTTCCTATGGTCATGTTAAAAGAAGTGGACTACACAGAAAAAGAACAAAACAGGGCAAAAGTAAACAGAAGTAAGCAGAAGGAAGCAGAACAGAGCAGCAAAAAAAAAACGTATGGAATAATGTAAACGCGAAATATATTGCGTATATCACATAATGAAGTAAAAGTGGTGTACGGTCAGCATGCGTTATTGCATTATTCCCATTCATGTGCCCCGTCATCCGAATGTCAGAGCTGTTCCAATAGGTCATCTACATATAACTCCTTCTCCTGCAAACTGCGTTCGACTTCGCACTGTTCTATGACTAATGCCAGGATCAGTATCCATGTTTTAGCGGTTAACCGTTGTTTCATGTAAGGTTGCGGATGCAGTTGCGAGCGCGGTGCATCTCTGACTTGTAGCAAGTGTTCTGTTGCCGTTACTGCTTCCACTTCTGTGCCTTTTTCCGCTATAGGTGCTTGGCCGTGTTGCGGTACTGTCGCGTCCTCTACATTATTCAACAAACGTTGAAACCACTCCTCCGCGTTATACATACGCATTTGCCGATGTTGCTTTGCGACCCATTGTTTCCACAACCGCAGTTTCGTCCTTTCCATGGTTGCCGCTTCACCGAACTCACGGTGCCCGGATACGCCGTTGTCGTCGGTTGCCGCCATGTGCTCACGCAGGTATTGTTTCCATTCCGATTTGATTTCATTGAACCATGTTTGCCCCGTGCACTCCTGCAATAGGTGCTTGTTGCGGTCAATCCAACGCAGCCACGTGGTAGTGTGGGATGTGGTTATGTCTGTGATGTCGGGCTGAGGATGATCACATGTGGGTGTGTCTGTGACTGCGTTACCGGAGCCTGGTGG